GTAGGGGCTGCCAAGAGAGCATGTGAGTGACCGCATTGCAAGGGGCCCTCCCACTGCCTGCAAACTCAGTCCATTAGACTCATTTCTCTGGCAAAAGCATCACCTTCCAAAGGCCCCTCTGTAGCAGTACATATGTCAACGTAGAGGGAGAATTCATTAGCACCCTAATCCCCATTAGCGAGGAGTGTGTGGCTGGATTATCTTGCTGTCTCCTAGCAGGAAGCAGGAGCCTGCAGAGAAGGACATCGGTTAGGCATATTGTGATGGGGGAGAGGAGTGGGAAAGGCCGGGAGAACGGCGTGTGGTCCAGAGGCAATGCCCAGATGGAGGCTGCAGACAGCTCCTAAGTCCAAAGAAAAAGCCCACGTCAGAGCTGCTCTTCTCTCTTGACCACCTGCTCCGATGATGTCCACGGTCGGCATGTCGCAGCCTACAGTACCCATGGTCTTGTTGATTCTTCCAACAGCTTTGTAAGGCAGGTATCATGGCTCCTTTTACAGAGAGGAGACTGAAGCTCAAGGCAGCCATGTGGCTTTAGGGGAACATTGAGAGGGCAGCGAGGACTCAAATCGGGTCTTCCAATTTCCCCTTTTGGCATTCTTAGCCCAACTGGTATCGGCACGCTACGAGTAAGAGCTCACGTTTAGCACGGCTGTAGGGGTCAGCAATCTCTATTACTGTTATAACTACTGCCACCATCATGGGCACTGTTGGAAGCAGTTGACATGTACAAGCTCATTTAATCTCTATAATAACGATACTATGGAGGGGTGATCATTATCTTCATTCTACAGATGAGGAAAGAAACGGGATTCGTAACCACAAAGCCAGCAAGGGTGTAACCAAGCACCTGGCAGTCTAGATGAGACAGCCCACGAGGACATTCTCCATGGAAAAGTCACTTTTCCAGCAGCCCCACGTGGTTACTCCAATGGGCGCATGGAGGCCGCCGGCAATTCACCGCTCCTCGGACGCACAATATTCATTCTTCAGCTGCCCACCAAGACCTGCCCCCTGGTTTCTGGGTGGACTTTTCTCCGAGATGGGGGGGATCTCATCCCTGTGCTGGTTCTTTGGGACATTTGGGTCTAACTGAACTGTCATCTCCATTGCAGTGCAGATCACCAGAAAATCATATTTGTCTCTTAGAAAGTTTGATTAAAAGAGAGTGCTATTTGTCCTGCTGATTTTAGGAGCTTTAACCTGATCATTATTTTATTTTGTGCATTCTTCTTATTTTAATATTTATGTATTATTTATAGCTTAAGTATATACTTATATGTTTTAACAATATTTATATGTTAAAATATTCTTACAATATTTTTAGAAAGTTTCATTTTGTTTTGCGTTATCTTAGGAAACATCATTTCATAATACTTAAAGTACAGAGTAAGCATCCACCAAAGTTATCTTTGTTAGTTATTATGTAAAGTTTTAGTCCACCCTTCAACCATCCAGAAAATGCTTTAAAAAAATTTTTGTATACATAACATATATGTGTGTTGCACATTAAACAAAATAAAATGTTTTAAATATTTAAGTGGAATATGAGAATTTTTGCAAATTTGGGGGCACCAGGGGTATCTCATAGCCCAGGTTTTCCAGAACGGTGAATTCCTGGCATCCTATGAGAGACCCTTGGCTCCGAGCTTGGGGATTTGGTTAATTGTAAGAAGTCCCAACTCATACCTTAGCCCATTGAATTGCTTTGAAATTACTGGAATGGGGCACTCCACTTAATCTTAGTTCTTTATACCCATAAACCATCCTGCCAGTGGGGCAGGAGGAGGAATTACCGCCATTTATTATCTGGCTGTGATGTGTGTACGTACATGCAAACACAACTCTCTTCTTCCAAAGGAAAAAGACTAGCATGCCCATGTGAGTTTAACTAAAGTGTTTCCTGGAGCGAAGCAGAAGTCAGGTGAGAGCGGATGCTGGCTAAGACAGGGGCAGGTGGGCACGATGCTGTCCAGGAGCTGAGCCGGGACTGAAGTGCCCAAGAGCCTATGCCTTTGCTTCTAGGCTACAGCTCAAACCGGATTTCCAAGTGACGGGTGGAGGCAAGGGGATGCATCAATTCATCATGACAAAATGACCCATTGAGAATACTTTGCTGGCCAAAAAAACCCCAAAAACAAAAACCAACAGCAAAGACATAATCTTGAAATTTAGGAATGCTATTTTTCACATGGTTAACTGTTTTTCAAACAAGTGAACACTGAAAATAGAAGCCATTTCTGACAACGGGCTGAGAAATATGTGTTTGGCACACATTTATCAGTGATGCAAGTCTGCAACTGCGGTTTTCACTGCATACGATGCTCAGGACTTCTTGCCACGAGCCCAGGGTGCAAACAACACAAGAGCCTTCACTGAGCCTAATTTTATCTCCGTCTGCACCTCATTACTGTGTGGTAGCTTGTTTCGTGCAAACAATCACCGGTTTCTAGCATAACAAGGAGGCCCGTGGTGTCTGTATCGAACATATTCCTCAGAGAATGAGAAATCTCCAACCGGGAAAGAAGAGATTCTTGTTAAGCCCTGGAAATAGGCTGAAATGTAAATGTGGGTTCCCTTCCACACGTGCCTAATTACCCATAAATGTCATTAAGTTGAGAAATGTTTTCCACCAAATTAACTTTGACTCATGATGTCTAATTAGCGGGAGAAGCTGGAAGATAACAACTTATCAGTCACTGTTTAAGAAAACATGTTCAACGGGTGACTTTTGGCTAGCGGCAATGTTGAACCAGGTATTGTAACTGTCAAAATCATGCCTGAGCCTAGCAATTAAGCACAATGTCTCTGTTTTGGTGCCAAGAATTTTACAACTCCCGCACAGATGTTGTTTAAAAATTGCGATGACTAGGATCTTCCTAGGAATCCATTGTGTACCCCCAACGAGAGGTTTATGGTGGAAGGAAAGAAGACAGCGCTGATAAACCCAAACCAGTTTGGCAGAAAACTGGGGGGCAATGTATTTGAAAGGATTGACTCAATTTGTAGTCTTTCTCAAAACTTAAGAAGGTTCTCCTTGGTGATTTAGAGCCAGGAGCATACATAGAGTTCTTTTACTGCTTGCAAAGCTCTTTGCCACACATTCCAGCCTCCCAGCAACCCTGTGAGGTAGGCATCATTGCTGTCTCCATTCTGTAACGGGGAAACTGAGACCCAAGGATCAGGTGATACTTTCCCAGACTCCTACAGCCGGCGAGTGGTGGGGATGAGATTTGAACCCAGCTTTTGGGACTGCAGAGCTGGACTCTTGTCCCCTGCACCCTAAAGCCAGGTGTGAGCCTGCTAGAACTGCCATAATCAATAAAGTGAGTGGCTTAAACAATAATTTTGTATTGTCTCACAATTCTAGAAGCTAGATGTCTGAGATCAAGACTCCACAGGGTGGGTTCCTTCTGAGAGCTGTGAGCAAGGATCTGTGCTGTGCCTCTCTCTCAGCTTCTGGGGGTCTGCCAGCAATCTTTGATGTTCCATAGCTTGTAGAAGCATCACCCTGACCTCTGACTCCATCTCCCCATGTGTCTCTGTGTCCAAACTTCCCCTTTTTTACAAGCACACTAGTAATTTTGGATCCAGGAGCCGTTCTACTCCAGTATGACCTCATCTTAACTAATTGCATCTATAATGACCCTGTTTCCAGATAAGCTCACATTCTGAGCTACTAGGGGTTAGAAATTCAATGAACGCCAATTTGGGGGGACACAGTTCAACCTATAACAGGCCTCCTAGGGCTGCAGCAGACATGCTTAAACTGAGCTCTGTGAACTTCGGTGGGGAGAAATTACACCTTCATTTTCACTAACCTCTAACTGAAATTTTGAATTTGATTACAAATAGAGGGGACAGACCATAATAGTATTTGTCACCAATCAAAATTGCTGATACGTTCAAGTCATGTTATGGTCGTTGGAAATGTCTTGCAATACTGTTTACACATCACTATTTTGAAATTACGTACATACATGACTCACCACTGGGTCTTGTTATTTAACGTGTGTTTTAAAGAAACACATATGTCACAGATCTGTTCTTTAAAAATATCTTCATCGCTGTTATTTCAATATAACTGGTTTCCTCTGTCACCCTGAGTATTTTATTTTTTGCATTTAAAAACATTACTCTGAGGAGTGGTCCAGAAGCTTGATCAGACCACACAGAAAAGGGGAAGTGCCCGGCTCTGTAGCTGCCACATTTAACGGTGAGGAAAAGGATTATGATGCCCTCGCCTGCCCTGTCGCAGGCCGGCCAGTCTGGGGCATTCACACAGAAATTGTGACTGGATGCACACTTGGGTTTCTCAGGGACAACAACAAAACACCTTTTACACATGAGCCAGACATCTGGCTCTGACATCGGTGGGACCTCTGTGCTCTGAGCTCTGAGGGATGTGCCCTGACTTGGGAGGACGGGAAACCTGGGCATCTTCCTTTGCCCAGATAATCCTCGGTTCCCCTCTACTTGGTCCTAGATACTATTTGCACTGTTTATCAATGCACTGTCCCGTCCCCTAAGTTTGTGTAAATGAGTACAACAGTTTCGTGTGTGTGTGTGTGTGTGTAAGATTCGCCCTGAGCTGATATCAGTTGCCAATCCTCCTGTTTTCTTGTTTGAGGAAGATTAGCCCTGAGCTAACATCTCTGCTAATCTTCCTCTACTTTGTATGTGGGACGCTGCCACAGCATGGCTGATGAGTGGAGTAGGTCCGCACCCAGGATCCGAACCTGCTAATCCTGGGCCACTGAAGTGGAGCGCACAGAACCTTAACCACTCAGCCATGGGGCCAGCCCTAACTCTTTCTTAATGAGAACAAGCATGGAAGCCCCCACTATCCATGCAGACGTTGGCAGATACAGGGCGTGCCCCTCACTGCTGGGAAAATGCGCACCCCCAGAAGAAAGCAGTGGGAGGGAGAACCAAACTACAGACAAGGTGCTGGGCTTCCCACCCAAATGCTCCCAAAGCACCCCCAGAACCACACTCACCCCACAGGCTCTCAGCCTCTCACGTGGCTCTCCGTGTGACAGCAGAGGCACCTGGCATTTGAGTTCTGTAATTAACTGTCTTTCTCTCAGCCTTCAACCTGGCCTGGGAATGCTCTTGTAAGTTTGGGGATCCACCGCCTAAAAGCAACAAGGAAAACTTGGAGAGTGTCCTGGAAGGAAGGAAGAGGATGAGGAGGGAGGGAGTAGAAGCAGGATTGCAATGGGCCCTGAAAACATGCAGCTGTAACCCAGAGGGAGTTGCTACAATAGGTAGTAGTTGTTTTTTTTCATCTTAGGGGTGGAGGCAGAACTGCTGAGATGACCCAAAAGAATGGCTTGAGTGTTGGTCATTCTCATTGGGAAGAGCACCTTGAGGACTCAAGTCCTGAGTGGACTCTGAAAGTTCCAGAGAAACGGCCCTTCTGGTAGGTCAGAGGTGTGGAGAGCATTCGCTTTGCAGGTCACCCTCCCTCTGCCACTATGTGTGTGGATACTCTGCAGAGGGGTTGAGTAGTGGCTCCCCAGCATCGGGCCGGCACTCCAGGCCAGAGAACGGACAAAGGACAAGGCCTTTGCCTGCACACCTTCCAAGAGAAGGGGGCACTTTGTGTCCCAGGAGCCCTTGAAATGGGATTGGATTGCCAGACACCAAACCCATTTGAAAGAGAAAGAATGCCGTAGGAAGACATTTGAGATTCCACTCAAACCCCCTCATGGCTGCATTGAGAGAAGATGGAAGGGAGGAGGAAGGTGAGGTCTGGGAAGCACCGAGTTCCTGAAGCTGTGAAAACAGACGCTGGTGGGGAGGAGATGCTCACGGGGCAGCCCTCATCATCAGTCACCCACTATGTGTCCTGCACTGTGACAGGAGCATTGCACTCAGAGACCCGCTTGTCTCTGAGGCAAGTTCTCACCTCCCAGATGAGAAAGTTGGGCTCAGAGACGTGAGGTGACTTATTCAAGTTAACTCAACAAATGTCAGCAGCAAGCGACGAGGCGAGTTCTGTGTGTTGCTAACACGCATGCTCTTCACTGCGTTCAGTGGGAGAGTCAGCGCCAGGGAGAGAGTTATTTCCCCAACCAGAAGGGGAGTCTTTGAAGGCGTGAATTACCTCTTAGTCTCCTCTTTACTCCTCATGCCTGTCGTGGTGGCTGGCACATAGTAGGTACTCAATTAATGATGGTTGACTGACTAAATGAATGCATTTTGGTTTCCTGAGGGCATAGCTTGAGAAGCGTTGTCAGAAAGTGTTCCATATCCCACACCTTTTGAGGGATGTTTTCTACCTGCCAGAAGTGGGGCAAATTTGAAACCACCTCTGGAATTTGGAGGTTACACAGGCCCAAGGAAACCCAGAGCAAGAACAAAGGTGGCCACAGAGGCCTACACGACAGCCCAGAGCTCAGAGTCTTGGAGTCCTGCCGGGGACTATTTTTCCTTGTTTGTTGAATTTATTTATACTACCTACTTCTTTCCAAAAGACTTCGAAAGGACTGCCTGCTGCAGTGGGAGAAGCACCAAAGAAGAACAGGAGACAGAATCCTCCAGAAGTGCAAGGGCAGGGTGTTGGCTTGGCAGGGGGCCTGGGTTCTGCGTGAAGATCTCGACTCGAAAGAGCAAGGGGAAGCTGAATCCACGCCAGGGGAGAAATCAGGATGGGACATCAAGAGTGGAGGGGAGGAAACCCTGGAGGTGCTGGAAAGGGAGCATGAGAGGCCGTGACCACAGAGGCAGGAACCGGGGTAGGCCCGGGCAGGCCATCCCCTGAGACTCACATCCTGCCAGTGCAGACAGCACAGCTCAGACGGCACACCCGGGAGAGGAGGTGGCTGCTGGACGTTTCCCTATGGAGCAGGATCTTGTGCCGCGTAGCGTCTGAGTGCCACAACGAGAGATATTCCTCCCAAATTCCAGGTTCACAAATAGACCCAGCACTCATGTCCTCCAAACAGAAAACCTTGGAACCATGGGGTCCTTCTGGCAAGTTCCTTCCCGTTTTTATCTGGAGGAGTACAATTGAATAAGGGGGATGGGTATTTAGGTTGCAAACTGTTGCCGTGTTTCACTTGGTTGTGTGACCCTTTGGGGCCAGCACTGTGTGTTCTGAGGCTCTTCTGCAGGAGCTCAACGCATAATGGTGAAGAGATTGAGCTTCAAGTCAGACAGTCCTGGTTTCTAAACCTCATGGGGTCTCTGTGCAAAATGGTAAAACACATACGGCACTGAGAATGCCTGGAGCACAGTAAATGCCATTGCTGTTACTACGTCTCGTCTTCAGAGCCCTGGAATTATAGAAGTCGAAGGATGATTGCTTGGAGGGTAAGATTCTCCTTTGCACTGGACTTTCCATCAGGGTGCTGGTTCTTAACCTGCTAGGACGTCACTGATCTCTTTGAGAATCTAATGAAACTATGAACCTTCCCCCCAGAATGGTGCCCACGTGTGTGTGAGTACACACTCATGCACACGCTTTGCCTTCATCCTCAGGGAGTTCATGGCACCCCACCCCAGAGCACATTTGGGAGCTGAGATATGGGTCCCCAGTCAGTCCAGGGGACATGACTTCAACCCAAATGGCATTGCAAAGACCCAACCCAAGCTCCAATCAGACATCAGAACACCTCCCCTCAGCCTGGGGCTCCCAACGCAGGTGCCAAAGACTCTGGACATCAAGGTCACCAGGGAGGTGAAGGGGAAAAGATCTGTATGTGATTCAGAGCCTTTATTTCATTCTACTCATATTTGGAGACAAGGAATTGTTGATGTTTTCTGAATTAATAAGACATTTAAGATATTTTATTTGTTGACAATTTCCAAATAAATGTACTCCAACAAGATTAATGAACATCCTGTCAAACCATGCTCTTTAGTTTGGGAAAGGAGATAAAATGCAAATATGTGAGTGATTGATGCTGGTACGAAGGGAGCTCTATTCTCTAAACACATCAGGGCCACATTGATGACACTGTAAAACTATGATTGTGTGAAGCACGGGTGTGATAACAACAATGGATAACGTCCATCCTGTAGTCCTCTAATCCTCTTTGCCAGGGTCACACAGTTGCCCAACCTGCAGACTGAACTGAAGGAGATTGACCCATATGACTTACGGAACGCATGTGTAGTGCAACTTTTTAAACTAGTTGAAATTCCATGTCATCTTTCTTCTCTTGGAAAAGCAGTGAAGGAACTAACATCATAAAAACTTTGCAAAGGTGAACTGCCCGCTAAAGAGGTCCCGGTGAATATTTACACCATTGTGGAAAAGTGGATGTATCAGTTTGCCGTCGCTATGTAACGAACCAAAACGCAGTGGCTTAAAAGAACCATCATTTATGATCACTCCCGCGCCTGCGTGTCTGTGAGTGGGCTGGGGTTTGGCTGATCTGGGCTGGGCTCACCTGGGCAGCCGAGTTCAGACCGCAGCAGCTGGGGTGACCCTGTGACTCACTGAGGACCTGGGGCTCTGAAGGGGCCACTCTGCTCCACGTGTCTCTCATCCTCCTTGAACCAAGGAGGCCAGACATGTTCTTTTCACGGCATGTGCAAAAGCACAAGGGAGCAGGCCCAGTCCTGCAAAAGCTTTTGAAAGCCTTTGATTGCTTCGGGTCCACTAACGTCCCACCCGCCAAAGTGACAAGGCCATCCAAGTTCCATAGCCATACCTACATGGCTATGGAGGCACGGGGTGACCACGGAGGTTGGGGAGGGGTAAATATTTCTAAACAGTAGATTTCTAAGTAATCTACCATGATGAGAGAGTGGAGGAAAGCTTAAGAGAGGTAGGACATTTTGCAGTGGTTCTCAACTTTGTCTACACATTGGAATCAGTTAGAGAAGCTTTTAAAATACTAATGTGTGGGTCTCACATCAAAGACTCTGTTCCAGGGGGCAGTCTTGGCATCTGGGTCGCAAGATGTAGCCGCGTTTGAAAACCACTCTCTCCAAGACTCCTCAGACCCCTTCCTCAAGGGCAGAGGTTCTCACCCCTGGCTGCATGTGCGAATCTCGTCTGGGGAGTTTCAAAACTGCCAGAACTGGAAACTCCCCAGCATAGTATTTTTTGAGAGCACCCCTGATGATTCTCACGTGCAGCCAGCCAGGGATGAGAACAATGGTTCCCCAAGAGCAGGAGCACCCCAGTTCTGTCATTCATCTGGTTCATGTGTGGTTTATTCTCACACAAATATTTGTTGATCCCATGTGCCAGCCACTGTACAGGGTCTGCTGACACCGCAGTGAGCCCAGATGGACACAGACTCTTCCCTTTCAGAGCCCAGTGCAGGAGAGAGACAATTAGATAGTCTCATTAAAGAATGAGCTAAGGGCTCTGATGGAGAAGAACACAGGTCTGTGACAGTGACAACAAAGAACTCCACACGGGGGAAGTCACAGAAGGCTTCCCTGAGGAGGTGTCCTGGGCATGGGCCTGGCTGTAAACCCAATGAGCCAGTATAGTTAAGTACAAAATATAAGCAGTGTCAGCTTCACATGCTACCCCGTCCCAATGTCATCCCAGTGAACGAAGATGCACCTTACAGAAGGATTTGGAGGGAGATCCAGGCACCTCTGCAGTTAGGCCGAAAGAGCCAGACCTGACAGGCAGACCCATCAGTCACCACATGGTGAGAGGGAAGTAGAGGACCCCTCCCTCCACCGCCCCTCCCCAAGGGCAGCTGTCCTCACTGGACCCTTTGAAAGGACCGAGACCCCAGCTAGAAGTACTGGAGGGGATGATGGACGGGGGATGGTGAGGCTGTAGGGAAATAGAATTGGATGGTGGGGGGCGTTGAGACTATAGGTGTGTGGGGCTGGGAGATTTTCCAATTACAGAGGCATTTCAGCTCCTCGGCTCCAGCAGCCTTGGAGTTCTGGTGGCTTTGGGGACTAGAAGTGCTGGTATGTGGAGCCCAGCTTGCACTGGTGCCCATGGTGAGCATCTCTTCCCAACTCTGTGTTTAGTAACATTCTGTTGGAGGCTCATCCAGCAGCCTTGGAGTTCTGGTGGCTTTGGGGACTAGAAGTGCTGGTATGTGGAGCCCAGCTTGCACTGGTGCCCATGGTGAGCATCTCTTCCCAACTCTGTGTTTAGTAACATTCTGTTGGAGGCTCAGAAAGAGCCATGGTGGGAGTATTTACATCACGGAAATTGGTAAATGCTAAAAATTATGGCTGTCTCCACCCCTACCCCTGGATAGCCAATGGTTAAACCTTGACCGCACCCATGGCTGGAAAGAAATTTTTGCTTGGGAGTCTTTGTTGAGTTTGAGGCTGGTCAAGTTAGAGTTCAGAGGGCAAGAGAAGGGAGCTAACATAGAACCTAGGATGTAGAGGGGAAGGCAAAACTGAGGATAGATTGGGCATTTGGCTAGAAATTCCCCTTGGCTCTACTAGGAACCTGGGAATGTGGGCATAATGATGTAAGAGTTTGGGGCCATTCACGCACTCCACGTGCAATGGACTCTTGAGCAGGTAACTTTTCTAGTCCTCAGAGCGTCTCTAAAATAAAGGAAATCTTTGTCTTATTTCAGGACCAGGCATTTTTTTAGTTAACCTCTAGGGCTAAAATGTATCATTCTAATTATATGCATCCGTGCATGGAAAGTTGACTAACAATATACAGGGAAACCCACAAGCCACACCACTGGTCCTGTCCACAAACCGGGCCATGAAGCTTTAAGCAAATTGCTGCGCTTGTCTGAGCCTTGCTTTCCTCCTCCGTGAAGTGGGTACACACAGGACTGTCCCCTGCCCTTCTCAGAGGGATGATGTGAGGTGGGATGCCATGACAGATGCATCAGGGCCTGAGAGGAGTTGAAGCATCACTGAGGGAGACTTCTTGTGTTGGTTTGGAAGACATTGGATATCTCTGAGAAAGAGGGATTTTATTCCCTATAGAGCTTCTGGAAGAATAAAGACATATGTGACCTAAAGTGGCTTAGGAGCTGTGTCTTGCCCAAAAAAAGAGAGAATGACAGAGAGGAAGAAAGAAAAGAAGGAATGAAGGGAGGGTCGGAGGAAGAGAGAAAGGAAGGAAAAAGAAAATGAAATTTGTACCATCTTCTAGTCTTAAACTCAACAGAGTCACTGGTGTTTCTGGATTGTCCCTAAAAGATTTGGAGACGTGATGCTCAAGACAAGGAATGGCAACACTTATGCCGCAGAATTTAAATAGAGAGTCTTCAGTTGTCCAAGCCACAGAGCTACAAACACGTAAAGATAAAATCGATTGGAGGTACAAAGGTTGGCAAACTCCCCCTTTCAAAAGGAGAATCCTCTTTTTAAACATATGTTGTTATAACAACAAAATTAGGGAAAGGACAGAAACGTTCAATTAAACACCATTTGGATCAGAAACGACAGTAGGAGAGAAACGTGTGGGGGTCCCTGGTGGGTTCTTGGTTTACCCCATTGTCTCCGAGCTCTGCAGCCTGGCACATATGGTTCACAGTGTAATCCAAACGCCCTCACACATGTGGACAAAGAGGCAGCCACATCCCCAATTCCAGACCTGTGCCTTATTTTTAAGGTGTCGGATCATTTTCAACACTATTCTGTGCTGCAAGAAAAGAATCAAGGGGGTAGGGAAGAATTGCGAACAACCAGTTTAAAACACAGCTCTAATGCACACGCAGGAATATGGCTTTATGCTTAGAGAACTGTGCACAGCACAAAGGCCCCTCTTGAGGGTCCCCAGGGCGCAAGCTGTGGCCCCGGGAAAATGCATATATTAGGGCACCCTTCTCCACACCGCAGCATAAGCCAAACACACGGCTAGGGAGAGGTCCTAATTTGCTTCAACTTCTTGAAAAACTGGGGAGAGCCACACTCCAGGGCAATGGATCTCGCTCCTGCAAGTCTCAAAACTTTCTGGCAAGCTGTTGAAGACAAGGAATTGGAGCAACCCAGCACAGAATTCTTTGAATGATGCCGCCCCGCTAACACTCTGGGGGTTCTTAAAAGTTGTTCTTTTTCTTTTCTTTTTTTTTTAATTCTTAAAAGCTCACAGTGAGCCACACAAGTTTCAATACCATACCAATTCAGATGATGAATCCACACAGAGGCCCCCCGGAAGATTTGCAATGGAAATAGCAACCAGCCCTTAACTACAGAACCCAATGTGGCACTTGCAGCATTATTATGGTGTCTGATTTGGAATTCAAATTCTATTCAAGACTGTGGCTCTTTATTACGTTGCTGATAGTCATTACCTTACCCACTGGCCGGCCTTATCTCCTGTGTCGTTTATCCTGGGAGATGGTCTAACTTCATTTATACACAATAAGGAGGCGAACTGACCCGAGGGGGCCACCCAGAGAGATGAAATGTGCAAAACTGAGTCCACCATGCGCCAAGCCCACAACTCCTGCCTTTGGCCCCCGACACTGCCCCAGGCTGGCCTAGGCCACTTGGTCTTTCTGAGCCACGAAACCAAAAAGGCTGTTTCTGCGGCCAAGCCAGGTACCTGTTGACCAGCCTCTCCCCTCCTCCAGTTCAAATCCTCTGTTGCTGTCGCTGACACATGCCTCCTGGCTCATCTGGGTGGCCCAGCCTCATTAGGAAGGGATTTGGTGCCTGTTAGTTAATTGAGCCCCGTTCCCACCACCTGCCACTCGCGGGCCTCATCTGCACACTAACAGCTCCTAATTGTCATCATACGGCAGGGTCCCCGCAACAACTTGAGAACAGACCTGGAGCAGTGCGCACAGCCTCCGCGCTGGTCCAGGAGCACCGTAACAATGTATCCAGGGGCCAGATGTTTGGAGAAGAAAGGCCCCCTGCGCCAAGGACAGTGTGAAAGTTTGCTGTTTATTGTACTCTCCATGCCACTTTACAAATGTGGAGAGGGCCTTCTCAGGGAGACTTCACTTGGGGTGAATAAAAGCCTTCCTCTGGACAGGGACAAGCTCATTTGAAAACAAATCGCTCTGACACGCAGATTGCACGTCATTTAGAAACAGGCTGTTCATCTGTGCACACTTTGAGGCAGCGCATTTGTTTGATTTCTCCCACGCAAAGACCTAAGCAAATGTTTAGGGTGTCAGAGCACCGTTTCAAAAGAGTTGGAGTAGAAAAAGTGCTTGGGTGAGTACCAAAAGCTGATCGGTTCCCTAGGAATGGAGGAGGGAGGAATAGGAAGAAATACAGCATGACACAGAGGGAGAAAGTCCAACACACGGGCGATGTGTAAATAAAAAGAGAGATGGGGAAATACACCATCAAGCTGAAGAGTCAAGAGGGACCATGGCGTAGGTATGGAATACAGATCTAGTGAGAAACAGAAACAAAATCTAAGACGTAGGATTGAGCACTCTACGTCCATAAAGAGAGAGAAAGTGCGGAAGAAGGGAAAGGAGCAAAGTTCTATCATTACAGGAAATTACAGGATGTAGGGGCCCAGGAATCCACATCTGGAAGCTTCATAGAAATCAGATGATGGCAAGTACTATGATTGAGTTTTTTGTTTGTTTGTTTATGATTTTAATTATTTTATTAAGGTCACATGGGTTTTTAACATTGTGTAAAATTTCGGGCATACATTATTATATTTCAACTTCTGTATAGACTGCATCTTTTAACTATAAGCACAATCCAACACATCTCCCTGGGATTCTGAGGTCCCAGGCTCTTGGGACGCCCCATCACCAGGGGATTTATCAGGTCTCTCCACCTGGAACTGGAAGTATTTTTTGCCTAGAGATTTCTAAGTCCTGTCTGCCTTACTAGTCCATCTCTGCTGGATGAGGGACGGGAAAGGAAATGAGGAAAGCCTGGAATGAACCCTACGAGGGACAGAGCACTAAGAAAAAAGGAAGGAGAATAGGAAAAGCTAAACACAAAAGCCTGGAGTACAGAAGGAAAGGTTATCAAGCCATGTGGCTTTAACCACCACAGTCTCTGCCAATTGATAAAATATTCCTCCGGGCCAGACCACGGCATTATCTCCTCACTCCCCATCTCCAGGCTTTCGGAAATAAACAGAAAGTAAAAACCCGAGCTGGTGGTGTGGTTTTTTAATAAACCAAGTGCTAGAAATAATTTCCTCCTTCCTAGAGAGAGAGAGAAACTGAGCAAAACCTGAAATGGAGAAAGCCAGGGTATTTCAAATCACTTTCAGAAGAGGTTTCAGAATAGTTAGCAGCAGGAACATCGCCTTCAGAAAAGCAGCCATTCTCCTTAGCTTCCCCACAGGCAAACATCGGGCTGAGGGCAGTTATATTAACTAAAGACCCCACAGAGCTGGGCGAGCAAAGTTACATTTTGCCAGAACACAGCATCTCTAACTCAAATATACCTATTCTTTTAGTTTCCTCTGCGAATGTATCAAAGGGATTTTTAAGAAACTTGATACTACTGGTTTTCCTCCCAAGTTTTGATAAAGAGCACTTTCTTGACGTCTTCCCAGAGCTCACGTTTACACCTCACAAGCAAAGCCCTGAAACGTCCTTCGGCATAATCTGCTAATCACACACCTGTGCCTTGTCTGTACTTAATTCTGCCCGTGACACAAAACCCAAACAGCCCGTTTTCACATCTTTCCGTGCTCTCTCCTGGTTTTCTGGCTCCCCCTCCAGCGTCCCTCTCTGGATGTCACTCACTGCTTTTCCCTGCTTGCTTCCTCCAGCCTGTGAACCCGAGGGGCCTAGTCTATGCTGCTTCCGAGAGCTGGCAGATTTCAGAGGAAAAAAAACCACCCGAGAAAAAAAGAATGGCAGTTTGACACTGCACTGTCACAGTTAAAACGGGCCCTGCTCGTGACCCGGGCTTGGACACCGATGCCTCGTGCCCAATCACAGCTGAGGCTGCATCTGCCACAGTTCACGGACCCGCCGCTCCATGCTGGGGGACCAGATGCCTCTGTTTATGCTCCCCTCCTCCCGGCCTTCTGCCGGACGGCAGCAAGACAGAGCCGCTAGCCATCACTGGACTTCATCTGTTTCCGCAATCTTGTCTTTCAATATATTCTTTCCTCCACCCCTTTCTGTCTCCACACACCCCCAAATGACCAGAAGGGGTATTTCCCTTTTTAAAGTTTGACCCAACAGAACAAAGAGGAGTAAATGACTAACCAGGAGGACAACGTGGAGTGTTCCGAGATCAGGCCAGGATACCACCAGCACCCCGCTCTATTTCGCCACCGACTTCCTGCTTTAAATGTCCCTGTGGTTGTTCACATTGAAGAACCGACTTTAAATGGTGGCTCTTAGCCTTGTTAGTAAAATTGACCTATTGTGCTGGAAGTTGGAGGCTGGGAGAAAGAGTGACAGATTTGAAGCCAGCAGTCAGCTGCCATTTCTTAAAGGTCCTCAGGATGGGTTTAGGTTTTGTCTTTTAAGTCCATCACATTTGCCGCCTCTTGTCTCTCACTGACCCTGAGGGATGTGACTCCCACAGAAGCCATGTCTCAGCATCCCTTTATGACATGGTGAATGGAGCACACAGAGTTATCTGTCCCCAGGGCACAGAGCAAACCCAGTGTCCAGTGGCTGCCTCATAGACTGCCCACCTGCAGCCCCAGCGAGCCAGGCTGGAGCCCCTGGCCCTCCATGCCATGGGAGCACGAGCAGAGCAGACCCAGGCCACCATTTCGTGGCTCCCAGTGTCACCACACATCCAGCCAGAGCGGGAGATAAGGGGGGTTTTCACTGACAAGCACTCTCTGGTTTCCAAATGTGACGTCCATCCCTCACATGTCAATGGTTGTCCCTGCTGAGGACACACATCCCCATCACTGGTCCTGGAACTCTTCCCCTTTCTCACCGTTATTCCTAATGGAAATGCCTGGGATTTGCCTCCTCTTCTTACTTCCCCTCCTCCAAAGACCCTTCTCTCACCCTCTATCCCCCATACTGGACACTCCTCTTTCCAACATTGAACTTCAGACTGAGTTTTTGCCTAGAAATTGTATTACCCCCAGTGATCACTTCCAGGGGCACTAGAGTCCAGCACACCGCAGGTTACAGTTTTTCTGGGGTGTCCTTCAGCTCTAACAAATATGTATTTATTCAATTAAATTTTTAGACATACAGCCAGGTTTCAGGGACTGGACTGGGTGTTAGAGATACACAGATAAGTGAATCAGGGTCCCTGCCCTCAAGTTCACAGGAAATCAACAATACAAAGAGACTTACGCACCCCTGTGTTCACTGCAGCATTATTCACAATAGCCGAGATGTGGAAGCAACCCAAGTGTCCATCAACTGATGATTGGACAAAGAAGATGTGGTATATATATATACAATGGAATACTACTCAGCCATAAACAAAGACAAAATCTTCTCATTTGAAACAACACGAATGGACTTTGAGGGTATCATTTTAAGTGAAATAAGCCAGACAGAGAAAGACAAACACCATGTGACTTCAGTCATGTGTGGAAGATAAACAAATACAAGGACAAAGAGAAGAGATTAGTGGTTACTAGAGAGGAAGGGGGCAAGGGGGTGGGTAAAAGGTGTAAAGGGGCACATATGTTTGGTGACAGATAAAAACTAGATTATTGGTGGTGAGCACAATGCAGTCTATAGAGAAACTGATATGCTATAATGTACACCTGAAATTATACAACGTTGTAAACCAACGCGACCTCTATAAAATAAAAGAAATTCACAGGGACACCAGAAAAATTATCACAAATTCATCAAAATACAATGTGATAAGTGATACCTGTTGAAAATACCATGGGGATGAGGAAAGAGCAGATAAGTTCTGCCCAGGGTCACTGGGAGAAGGTGTCACATTTGAGCTGAATCTTAAAGAGTTCAAAGGAAAACAGGAGGTAGAGAGCTGGGAGGGGACATTTGGGAAAGAGGGGGAAACTGTCATTCTTTTCACTACGCAGCCCGTACTTCAAGCAAACATGGTACTGGCTGCTGGAGACCCAAAGTGAGTAAGACTCTGTCCTTGCTCCCCGGGAGCTTTATGACATACGTAGAAAAATGGGTTCAATGGTACTTTTATTGACAAATAAGCTGTGAATGTCACGTGGTGATTTAACAAATGGGGTTTTGAACAGCAATTCATTTATAACAGTGCAGTTTCCTAAATATGAATGACAATTACAGACATATACTTTGCCACATATGATCCTTCAAGATTCCCTGGGACTAGCATGCATGCCACAGAAAACAGAAAAGATCCAAAGAGCAAATTGCACCCATAATCCAAATATTCAAATAGTATTTATCAGGCATGGAGCACGTGCAAAGGACCCACGAAGTGTTCTCAGTGAATTCAAGAGGAATATGGATTGGTATATTTGAGTTTATACAAACCAATTTATAAGCACTTTATATCATGTTGTTTTCTAAACAAGACCCCATAAGTAATATTAACTTTAAATACTCAACGTAGGTGTGACTTTTAATACCTAAGTCTTCCTTCAGGCCTGAGGAGTTTCCCAATGACCACCAGCATCTTCAATGGGCTACCTGAAGATGCACCGTACACGAGTGGTTACCTGGGAGCAGCCTGAACCAAGAAACAATCTACTTCTTCAGAGCAAGATGGGAACCAGGAAGTGTTTTTTTTGCCTGGAAAGGATTATACTGAAAAGCAAAATTTAACTAAAAGCAAAGGCAAGAAAGTTTATATTACATATAGGTTTCCAGAAACAGTTGATGGTCATGAGAATCAACTCAGAGTTAATTAAAACATATGCATGTATCTGGTGCCTCAAAGAATCTAAGGCTGTTACATTTCCAGACAGGTAATTATATTAAAAAAACTGATCCGGGGCTGGCCCCGTGGCCGAGTGGTTGGGTTTGCGCGCTCCGCTGCAGGCGGCCCAGTGTTTCGTTGGTTCGAATCCTGGTTGCGGACATGGCACTGCTCATCAAGCCACGCTGGGGTGGCATCCCACATGCCAGAACTAGAAGGACTCACAACGAAAAATATACAACTATGTACTGGGGGGCTTTGGGGAGAAAAAGGAAAAAATAAAATCTTTAAAAAAAAAAAAACTGATCCACTGGCATTGTGGGGGCCCCTATGATCCCAACAGAAGCATTGAACTAGAGCTCTACAAGACACCACTCCATGCCCAGGGCCTGGCACAGAGTAACTGGCAATGAATGTTTGTTGAATGAATGAATGCAATGCAGTTCCAGCTGCTCTGATAACTACAAAGATAAATAAGGCTTATCTATTGTTTTGAAAAGAAAAGATACAGAATAAATAATGGTGGAATAAACTTGAGCAGCTTAATCTACCAGTAAAGACTTAATGCCATGCAAAGGCCTATGTTTCTCATGTAAACTCAGTGTAAGAAAGGAAAAGCGGTCATGAGGAAGGAGAGAAGGAAGGATAAAGAAAAGAAGGGAGGGAACTTTCTTAAAGATCTTATTGACTCCAATTCTCTCGTGGTTTCCAATGTATTCTTCTGAGATGTCACCTTGCAAATTTAATTTTAGCCTAAAATTTTTAAGCAAAAAATAGAGGACATATTTTGGTAAGATGTCATTCATATAATTCAAAAGAGTGTTCTGAAGGTGCCATATTGCATGTATGGGGGCCCCGCCGCTCAGAAACCCTAACACACACTTTCCCTTTTGAAAATAGTTTAGCATTTGAGTCTCAGCAACCCGCACATGCTTAACTCATAGTGACTCCAAAATAAGGCACAAACATTGACTAATTAATCCCCATGACAACACAGGGAAGCCCTGAAAAGCTCTGGGCAGCACCCACCCCCTGGGCATCACCACAGCTTTATTTTTAGGGATCTGTTCTTTTCAGACTTTCTCTGATCAGCACATCCCCCCTCCCCACCCCTTCCAAAACACAAGACAACACAAACAACAGCCCAGGAAACCCAGAAATGTGTCACATGTTGGGTTTCTGCTCTCTCTCCTCTTCCTCTCTTTCCGTCTCTCTGTGTCTTTCTGTCTCTCATCAAATGCAGAGATATTGATCTTTGGTGTTGATTATCAGGGTCCCTGCCTGTAATTCAGCACCAAGGACACCTCCCATGCTTTCAGGAACTGCTAGGGACAGACCACTCTATCATAAATGAAAGCTTTGGTCTAAAGATCAAGAAAACCAGCCCACCAAGAAAAGTTTCTCACCCCAAACATAATTCCAGCCTACTCTCGCTGCAGTGACTTTCAGGCAAGAAATATATACATATAACCCCTACTTGAGCAAACATCTGATAAAATGTTTTCATGTATAGTACAACAAACAAGGCGGAGACCCCAGAGCGTGGTTGGCACCACATACTCTTCATTTCACAGATGCTGAGACTGAGTTCCAGCAAGATAGTGGGACCTGCCTGGAGTCCGGGGACTAGGGGCTGTTTTCTGCTGACCACTCCGTCTTCTAAGCTTTGCTCAAATATTAGAAAATCAGCTTTCTGCTAAAAAATTTTCCATTTCTCTCCTAAGAACTTTTCCCTGGTTGATAAATGTTTTAACAAGTATGCTTTTGAAGAACGTCTCTCTCGGGATTTATTAGAAATTAACAACTTACAAAACTTTTTTATCCCCTTCTCCCAACCCCCACCTCAGCCTTAATAGGATCAGCAGCTTTCATTTTTGAGCATATCCTCTGGTGCTAAGCCCTCTTCACTCAGCATCACATTAGTACTCACAGCCGCCCTATTAAAGTCCTTACCTTTAATGTGGAGAATTTTACTATTATTTTTATAGGTGAAGGAAAAAAGGCAAAGACAGCTAAGCAACCGACCCAAGAGCACAGTTAACAAATGGTAAAACAGGGATTCTCGTCTTTTCTGCCTTATTTCAACCCCTCCTCCACCCTCCCATGACTTCCCAAAAGTCATTAGCTGCAAGTAGATTAGTGTCTAAAAGGGTCAGCGATGTATGAAGGAAAAAGAAAAATACTACTTTTAAAAGTGCCTGTTATTTCTGCCCATTTTACTTCAGAAGAGAACCAGTCTTTAGTTTTAAGGAATATTTTAACAAACTTCTTGGTTATGAGAGGGAAGTTCAAGGGCAGAGCTGGGAATGGGGAGGGTGAGACAAAGAGAACCAATGGTTCTGCACAATCATTTACAAAGTGGGTGCTTTTAGTTTTCTCTGGATTGGTGCAAACAATGGGAGTTTATTGAGAGGAATAACCTGAGAACAGTGGAAGTGGACAGGGACCCCACTGGAAGAAACAATACCAGGAACCCAGGAATGATGGCCAGCAAAGTGATGGCCTACCCATGATGGGTGTGGCAGACTGTGTTTCCCCAAAATGACCACAACAATATTTCCATTCCCACATGCTCTTCCAGAATCTTACCACCCTCTGTCAAGAGGTGGAGTCTATTTCTACTCCCCTTGAACTTGGGCAGGACTGCCTCAATAAATAGAATGTGGTGGAAGCAACGCTGCATAATTTCTGAGGCT